ACACTTGAAAAATTGTATTTTTATAAATGTAAAAGCCTTAACTAAAACAAATTTTGATACATTGTATCTGTAAAGGTACATTTTATTAAAAAATAGTAATAAACTTAATTAATTCTTATTCTAACAGAAATTAATGCATTTTTTTTCATTTTAACTGATGAAAAAAGTATTCGTACAAAAAAAAAAAGCATATTATTAATTTAATTTTTGTGGAATATCCTTTATTGAGTTCAACAGCTACCAGTCTATTCCTGTACGTCTCAACTAATGATTTGCACATATTGAGTGGTATTTTGTCCCATTCTTCTTGGCATATTGTCTTCAAATTCTTGATATTTGTTGGGCTCTTTTCCCAATTTGAATTTTCAAATATTGCCATAAATTCTCGATTTGGGTTCAAGTCTGGGGACTGACTTGGCCATTGCAAGACATCAACGTTACTTTCAGCTAACCATTTCCTTGTAGATTAGCGGTATGCTTAGGATCATTATCCAGTTGGAAAACCCAATCAGGAGGTAGCCGAAGTCTCTCAACAGAATGCATTAAATTGTCTTGCAGGATTTTCTGGTATCTTTTGGCATTCATCTTGCCATCTATTATTGATATTCTGCCAACACCTTTTGCAGAAAAACAGCCCCAGATCATGATACTGCCACCACCAAACTTTACAGTTGGCAACGTGTTCTTTGGTAAGTAGGCTTCACCGTCCTTCCTCCCACATGATTTTGATAATTATGACCAAACAACTCTATTTTAGTTTCATCTGTCCATAGTACTTTTTCACAAAACGAATATTCTTTATCCTTATGCTCTCTAACGAATTTTAGCCTAGCATCTCTGTGTCGTTTCTGAGTCTTCCTTGGGATGCATGATTTCAGACTGTTTTTGTGTAGTTCATTACTTATTGTACGCTTGGTTACTTTAATCCCTAATGCACGCAGATGTTCCTGCAGCTCTTCTCAGGTAACCTGTGGATTTTGTTGGATCTGGCATCCTAATATCCTTGCTGATCTTAGAGAAATCTTCCTCGGAGCACCTGTTCGTCTTTGGTTTTTGATGCTGTTACGAGTTTTAAACCTTGCAATGAACGAAGCAATTGTAGTAAAAGGAATATTCAGGTTGTTAGAAATCATTCTGTAACTGTTCCCATCTTTCCAAAGAGACAAAATGTGTTGTTTTTGTGAAATAGTCAATTCTTTACCTTTAGGCATTATTAGAACCTTCTCGTAAGACTAGAAATTGCAGAATGCTCTGATAATGGCTAATAGCGTTAACTATAATTACTGATAACATTACTGGAACATTCTAGAATATACTTTT